ATACAATGTCATGTCATCTGCAAACAGGGACAGTTTGACTTCTTCCTTACCAATCTGGTTGCCCTTTATTTCTTTGTGTTGTCCGATTGCCATGGCTCGGACCTCCAGAACTATGTTGAATAAAAGTGGGGTGAGTGGGCATCCTTGTCTTGTTCCTGATCTTAAAGGAAAAGCTTTCAGCTTCTCACTGTTAAGTATGATGTTGGCTATGGGTTTGTCATATATGGCCTTTATTATGTTGAGGTACTTGCCTTCTATACCCATTTTGTTGAGAGTTTGTGGTTTTGTTTTTAAAATATCTTTCCAAACCAAGGTCCTAAATTTTCTTTTAGGAACTTTACAATTTCCAAAGCAAAGCTCTTGATATCACCTTTCCAGCTGTTGGCTTATCCCTCATTTTTCTTATCTTAGTAAATGGTGCCACCATCCATCTAGATGCAACACCTGAAATATAGGATTATCTCTAATTCTTTCCTTAACCCCAAGCCCTACATCTAGTCCATTTCCAATTCCTGTCAATTCCAACTCCGAAGGCCATCCACTTCTCCATCACATTGACACCACTGTTCTTCCAAACTCCACAATCATGCACTCAGGTAATTCTTCACAGAGTAACTAGAGTGATTTAAAAAATATATATATCAACCTACTAGTCAATAAGAAAAGAAAAAAAGCTGATAGAAAAGTGGCATGTATAAACAGTTTTCAGAAGAGAAAATACAAATGACTTTAAATATGCAAAGATTCTAATCTCTTTTTAAGAGAGCTGCAAATGAAAATTACTCTGAGGTATCTTTGCCAACAAACTAAAAGACTGATAACTGAAAGATCGCAAGTTTGTGGGGAAACAGGCATGCTCATACATTGCCTGTGGAACATAAACTGGTGCAACTTCATCACTAATTTGGCAACAACAAATATTCAACAGAACTATAAATGCACATAGCTTTCAACACAGAATTCAACTTCTAGAAATTTAATCCTATAGTATGCAATCCTAGCACAAGTGCAAAATGAAATATTGATATTCATTGCAGTATTCACACTAACAAACATATGAGAAACAACTTAAATATCCATGAAGAGGGAAACTTGCTAAATAGATAACAGTCCATCCACACAATGGATCCTATAGTGAACAGACTCTAAGATGGTCCCCAATTATCTCTGCCTCCTCCTACTTATGTCCAATGTAATCCCCTTCAGTGTGGGTGGGACATGTGACTTCCTTCTAATATAAAAAATGTTACCTCTATGATCACATTATATGACAGTAACATTTGTCTTGCTGGCCAACTCCCTTGCTGACTTTGATGAAGCCAGCTGCTATGTTGTGTGACCCTATGGAGAGGCCCACACGGCAAGGAATTGAGGGTGGCCCCACCAAACAGCAAGAAACCGAGGCCTTTGGCCATACAACCCATGGATAATTTAATTCTGTCAACAACCACATGAGCATGGAAGCAGATCATTCCTCAAACCTTGAGATGAGACCGCAGCTCCAGGTAACACCTAGATTGCTGCATAAGAGCCTAAGACACCCTGAAGCAGAGGAACCAGATAAGCTGTGCCTGGACTCCTGACCTACAGGATTTGTGAGATAATGTGCTGTTTTGGGCACCTGAGTTTGTTAATCAGCAACATAACTATCACAGATATTATGCAGCTGTTAAAAGAATGATGAAAGTTTTATGTACTGATAATAGAATGAACACCAAAATATACTAAGAAAAGAAGAGCAAGGTCGTAACAGTGGGTGTAATTTACCATTTGTGCATACGTAAGCACTTGTCTGTGCGTAGAGTATCTGATATCTCTGGAATGATACACAAGATAATGATAGCAGTGTTTGCCTCTTGGTAGCTGGGGACCTTTTGAATTTTGCTCCATTTACATTAAAACTTTAAACCCTTTTGTTCCCATTTGACTGAATTAAAATTTAATTCCTTGCAGTGGTCTAAAGGACCCTGCATGACTTGGGTCTTGCCTATTTCTCCAACTTCAACCCACGCTGTTCATTCCTGGCTCTTACTACTCTAGCCACTAGAATGTAAATCCCCTAAGGGCAGGAATATGTCCTTCTTACACACCTTTCAATCTCAACACCTAACACAGTGCAAAACACTCATTAGGAATTCAGTGAATATTTTTCTGAAGGGATAATTAATCTGACACCCAAAGTTTTAGGAAGGATTAAGAGGTAATGCCAGCATACCCCTTGGCACATAGTAGGCATTCACCAGAAAGGGACACAATATGGATTTTCCTGTAGTGTATCACTTGAAGGACTATTATAAACAGGAAAGCTTCATTATGTTCTCCAGAGGCCAGCTGGTGAAACTCAGAGAAAGGAAAGTATTAATTCAGCATTAATGCCCTAAGAAGCAGCTGCACATGTGGGAGGGGCTGCTTTATGAGGTTTTGAACACCGCCACACTACCTATTCTGTCAGGAAATCTGTAAAAAATTCATCTGCCCTGAGTGTTCTTCTGAGAGCCTTTCTAGGACTCTGTGATCTGTATACAGATACACTATAGGTTCTGTTTTTTTCATAGTTGTTTTACATATACAAGCATATTGTTATTTCTGACTCCTGAGACAAAAAAAAAATTGAGTACATTTACTGATCTTTCTATAATATAGGGATGCTAAATATGAGACTTCACTGTGAGAAACTAATGGCTGTATTGATTTAGTTTTTTGAGGTTTACAAAACTGTTCTCTTCTCAGCTGCCATTAGCACAGTAGCCTGTTTCTTTGGGGCACAAAAAAGGGGCTAGATGGGTCTTTTTGTTTGTTTTTTGGTACCATAATGATGCTGGAAGTGTAATTTCATCAGACAACTGAAGATTGAAGTATCTTTTTCCAAGGTCTTATTTTATTGGAATTTTTTTTTGTTCCATTAACTGAAAACAGAAGCTGCATAGACTACACATAGGGGGCAATTCTGATACTGAAGTGCTTCCTTCACAAAGAGTAGTTTCAAGGTGGAAGTCATTCACAAGGAAAATTATGACCAGTGCTGGACAGAGAAATTGCGTATCTTCCTACTAGTTTCCTCCCAGTCTGGTCCTATGGCTCTGCCTGAGGAAAGACTGTGATCTAGGATACCAAGTCCCACCCACCTCTTTTATCTTGTTAAAAATTTTGGTATATCGCATATAAATTAAACAGCAGGTGAAAACTGAGCTGCTTATAAGTCTTGTTTAAATTGATAGTAACCTGAGCTTGCTCTCCTTGACTTTGCTTAATTTTAGATTTTAATACATTTTGAAACAGCACTTTTGTTTATTTAGTAACTGCCGAAACCTGGAAAATGGTTGTTGAAAACTACCCACTTATCTGCAAAGTGTAAATTTTTCCCCCCTGGTAATATAAGGGGTTGAACGGCTTTTAAAAGACTGTATCTGGACTTGGAACTCTTAAGTCAAACAAAAGCTTACATGAAGCCTAATATACAAAATAAATGAATGCACACTGGTTTTGGTGGCAATGGGACATGGCCCAGAGGCTGAGGCAGCTCAAGAACGTCCGGCACTCTGCAGGAGATTCTGGAAATCTCTGTACTACATACGCTTTCAGTTCTGACAAATTACTTTCACAGTGACAACCTACAAAGCATAATTTGGCCTCGTTGAGATGCACCCAAATTCATCCCCTCATTTTTGTTTTTTTTGGCTTGCACACCAATTGGCAAAGGTGTAAGGAGCTACACTGAATCCCTTGTGCTAAAGCTGGTACTAGTCAACATTTAGATTTTAATCATGGCCTATGTGGTGCGCCTCATTCATTCAATTGTGCCAAAATCTGGGGCTATCAAGACCAGCATGATCCCTGCTCTCAAATTGTAAGTCTCCTGGGAGAAAACAGGATATTACAGCTGTTAATGGTAGAGGCTGACCTCCGGCATGAGAGCACACAATTGGGGTACTCAATTCTGGGGGAGAGGAAGAGAAAGGTAGAGGGAGAGGAAAGGATTCATAAAAATATCAGATGTTTACTGAACACTTAGTATGTGTCATGCAGGTTTCTAAATTTTTTGTGATCGTATTAGAGATGAGGACATTGAGACAAAGGATGGTTAAATAACTTGGCTGTGGATAAAAACTGACGGAGGCAGGATTTAAAATCAGGCTGTGTGACTCCAGGGCCCTTGCTCTTAAATGCTCTACTACTTTCACGTTCACGGAAATGGTAACAGTGAAGTTGAATCTTGAAGTATGTAAATGACAGGGGAGAAGAATCAGCAGAGGGAGGGAAGAGGAAGCAGCATGAATGAAAGGAAGCAGAGGTACAAAACAGCATGGCACACTGGAATTTTAAGTTAGGAGAGCTGGAACACAATAGGTTGCAAAGGGGACTGTGGTGAGGAAAACAGGCTATGCCCCTCTTCCCCTTTGGCAAAATCCCCCCTTTATCTCTGCAATGAGCCCCAAAAGAAATGTGAAAATTCAGTGAATGTAAGAGAAGGCACAGCTAGATTAGTATCCCAGGATGTCAGTGACCTTGGACTCTCTGATCTTCTTAGGGGATAATGGGTAAAAAAAATGTGTCAAAGTTCCTAGTGTTGGCTATATAAATGCTGGCTGAGTTTGAATGTGCAGCTGATGTTGGGCAAACTGGGTTCCTGGATAAAAAGTGTGTACAAAGTACTCTTAAGGAAGGGAGAAGACAAGACCAGGTTGCAAAAACCATGTGTGTTCACATGAGCCAAGTGTCGCCAGTGGCAGCCTTATCAAAATTACAGTGCTTGCTGTTAGAATAAATGAACTGTACAAGATGTTCTTAACTCCACTAAGAGTAGATGTGATTTACGGTCTCTGCTGACAGGCCAAAACAGTTCGTTAAATACTCCCCCTGAACTTTGAGTGTATCGTCATCATATGATTTCAATGAAAAAAAAAATCTCCTAAACAAGATGGACAGAATGGGGACAGCATACCACCTGCTTGTGGGCATGAAATAGGAAATTGTAGGAGCTCGTAATGACCCAAAAGTTCTGTGCAGAAATACAAAATCGTATTTTATTTACATCTTTCTTAGCACACGATTCTAAATACGCTTTACAGCAGGGTAGTGGTTATCACAGACTACAAATAATGATGCTATCGATCAGATGCCCTGCTTGCCTTGTACAAGCCCAGCAGTCTGATCATCTCAGACAATTTTTTTTCTTTTTTAGGAGAGCAAGGTACAGGCTTTTATTTAGAGATAAAGTGACAGGACAGAGCTCCCAGCTCATGCCAGAAGGGAGAGAGTCCCGATCTCAGACAATTTTAACAGGAAGAGGTAGGATTTGTTTCAGATGTGTTTCACTGTCTATGAGGACAAGTGGCTTCTCACCATGGTGACAATCAGGTTGCTAGGCTTGGCAAGGCCGAGTTTAGAAGAATGGTCCTCCAAACAGATCTACTGAAATGAATGGTTTGAGCCACCAGCAACTTTCTTCAATCTGATTAACTTGCCATGATATAACTGCTTAGAATACATCCAACAGATCCTTTCTTTATTGTTTCTTTGTCTTGCCGACAGGAGGGTCAGTCAGTACTGAAACGTACAGTTTGAACCAGGAATATGTGACGCCTACTGCACAATACACCGAGGTTAGTAACAAAGGGATAAAGGGGTACTTCAGCTTCCAGGAGGTGAAAGGGAATACAAATTCACAGAAGACTTCCAGAGGCCCCAGGCCAAGGAGGTAGAAAGTTTCCATCCAATTAAAAAGAGGTTTATCTTTTCTGAAGAAAAAGGGAGAGAAAAGTCTGATTTTAGATGAGTCATTCTGGTTTAGCAAACATTTCTCAGCTAAAGTCACCCACCTACACTTGTCTTGATGCAAACCACAACTAAAGCCAGAGTCAAAAGATATTAAATTTCACATTTAGAAAAAATAATAGTGATATACCACTATCTTATCTCAGCAATCCAAATTTACCTGATCATCATCTACCTATGCAGTCACTTAGTTGAAGCTGCTGAGAGAGAATCAGCTATGCATTTGGAAGAGTAAAGGGGCTGGATGCTGTGACTGGAGTAAGAATATGGTAAACAATACATAATCAAGGGTTTTTTAAATGTTTTTTCTTTTGGTAAAATAACCAAATTTGCTAAGTTAACCTTTTTTAAGTACAGAGAACTCTTTACAGCAGGGTAGTGGTTATCATGGACTACAAATAATGGGGGTTGGGGCACTGGTCCCTGAACAGTCAAAAATTCACATATTTTTTTGGGGCATTACGATTAGCACACATAATATAGTGGGGTGGGACATGGGGAAGGCGGTATAGACAGAGAAGACAAGTAATGATTCCGTAGCATCTTACTACGCTAATGGACAGTAACTGTAATGGGGTATGTGGGGGGTACTTGATAATACGGGGAGTCTAGTACCCATAATGCTGTTCAAGTAATTGTACATTAATGATATCAAAATATAATTAATTAATTAATTTAGAGAAAAAAAATTTCATAGTTTCTGACTCCTCAAAAGCTTAACTACTATTACCCTACTGGTGACCAGAAGCCTCACTGATAATATAAACAGTTGATGAGCACATTATTTTGTATATGTATTATATACTGTATTCTTACAATAAAGCTAGAGAAAAGAAAATGTTTTTCAAGTTGTTGCAAATCTCCAAGAAGTTTTTTCCAATATATTTATTGAAAAAAGTCTGTGTATAAGTAGACCTACACAGTTCAAACCCATGTTGTTCAAGGGTCAATTCACTAACATTAACTATATTGTAAGTGTATACAATTCACTAACATTAAGTATATTGACAATGCTGTGCAATCATTACCAATACCCACTTCCAAAATAATTTCATCACCCCAACAGAAACTCTGGAAAATATTAAGCAATAATAATTCCTCATTCCCCCACCCCCTGGCCTATAACCTCAAATCTACTTTCTGTTTCTATGAATTTGCCTATTCTAGTATTTCATATAAGTGGAATCATACAATATTTGTCCTTTTGTGTCTGGCTTATTTCATTTAGCCCAAGTTTTCAGGGTTCATCCATGTTGTGGCACATAATAGAATTTTATTCCTCTTTCTGGCTAAATAATATGCTATGGTATGTATATACCACATTTTGCTTATCCATTCATTTGCTGAAAGACACTTGGAATGTCTCTGCCTTTTGGCTACTGTGAATAAAGCTGCAGTGAACATCGGCATACAAATATCTGTTTCAGTCTGTTTTTCATTCTTGTGTTTACATACCTTGAGTGGGATTGGTAGGTTATATGGTTATAACTGAGTTTTAATATAATTAACTATTGAGGTTTCATGGACAAGTCAGATATGAATCATAAGCAAGATTTTAAAAATTATACAGATACAAAGTTTAAAGGGAAAATTCTACCTAGAATTCTATGAGAATTTTTACCTGGCTTTTAGTTATCTGTATTTGTATTTATGTATCTTTAAAGTCATCTTTATTTGTATTTATATCTGTATTTATGTGGTTTTAGTCAAAATGTTTATTTTACTTTCTATTTTTTAATTTTCATATAACGTTTTAACTTAAGCTAGGTAGTCCCTCCTCAAATACTCCCCAAACTAAAGACGTGACCTATGATGTAATGTCAGAGTGGTGGGATTATGGGTAATTTCTACCTCTATTTGCTAATATTTTGTAGTGTTGCCACACTACCATTATAATTTAAAAATAAATTTTAAAAGGCTTAACTGACCATTTAGGAGTAAACATTCCACAAGAGTAAATGTAATTTTAAATGTACTTTTTCCCATTACCTGAATAGAGTCTTCAGTGAAGAAATACTATAGATGGTAAACAGTAACATGAGTAAGATTTTAATGGGAAGTTCTGTTAAAAGAATAAAAAAAAATACAGATGATAATTTAGTTGATGAGAAAGATTTGCGATACTTAAGGCAACATGAGCACACTGATACAGCTACACAGTGCCAGGAATGCTTTTTAGGCTTAATTATGCATTTTTGTATATCTAAAGATACTAAGGATCAGGGACAAATTTGAGGTTTTGTCCTCAAGAGAAGGGATGAGTTATCTCCTTTGAAGAGATTTTAAGGTTGTTTAAATCAGAAAGCATTGATCTCTAGGCCCTGATGAAAGGGCACAGCAATCAAATCTCTCTGTGAAAAGAAGCTGCTTACCTGGAGCAGTGAAGAGCAGAGGGAAAAGGGAATAATGTCCTGTTGTGGCCAGAATCAGAAAAACCGAAGCATCTCCTGCTTTTCCCACAGACAAAAGGCTAAAAATAAAAATTCTTGTAATAATTCCTTAAAACAACAACTGAAACTTACACTTGCAAACAGCTTGAATAAATTGCACTTATTATTATTTTTAGAACTAGGGTAAGCATAAAGTAACACACTGATCTCTGTTACAAGTCCAATTTAATTGAGAATATTGATTTCTTTAGTGGGAAACTTTAAGCAATTGATAGAAGAATGTACCACGCTTAATCAGGGAATATTCAAAAAAGAATTTTGTTTCCTAGAGTAACTCCCTTCTCTAAAAAACGGATGCTGTGCGGATTGGGAGCTGCCTAGTGGTGGTAGTCAGGGAAGCAGGACTTGGGAGTTTAATTTCCAACTCTACCGCTTTTCTCTTGGACAATGCTCTGTACCTGCTGGTGTTCAGTATGAATTCTACCTTAAGATATTTTTAAAATTAGGAAATTCCAAATTCTAAATGAACTTATTTAGACCAGCCATATACTGATCTCTGAATTTGCTTAATGTTTAGAGCTTAAATTATTTCTCTCAGGATTTAAGAACAAATCTCAAAAGATCTAAATTCTATTACTATATATCTATCAGGTTTCCATTACACATAAAATGGACATGACTGCTTTTAAAATGCTTTTTTTTTTAGCATGTCAAAATGAAAAGATTGTAAGATTCAGGTTTATACCCCAACTTTGATATTTACTAATCGTATGACTTTGGATAAGTTACTTAAAAATCTCTGAGCCCCAGTTTCCATGCACATTAAGACGGGGGACGATACTCATTTACCCTAACTATCTTAAATAAAGGTTGTTGTGAGGCTCAAAAGAATGCAAAAAAAAGCAAAAAAACAAAACAAAACCCAAAAAACAGTTCTGGAAAATATCAAGTGTTATACAATGTTAGGCTTTGTTCCACAGTGGGCCCAATCCTTACTCTGGAAGGAACTATGGAACCTTATTTTCACAGATGTGATGAGACCAAAGCCCAGGCTTTTTCTGTACTATACTGCCACTCAATATCCAGGCCTAATGGTCCAGTATCATGGTTCTTAATCAATATAACACCCCTTACCAAAAATGCAAAACTATACAGGCAATTTTACATACTTTAGAACCTTCATGGGTCTAAGGATCCCAAGATAGCATCTCTGTCCTGTCCTAGTAAAAATCTGTGCCTGTAACGTTTGCCTTTGCCAATCCCATGTATGATGTGAAGAGGGAACAGATCAAATGGAAAACAATAGGAGAACTGTGAGATATGCAAGAAATGCTGACTGACTGAGCTATTGGCTTACCTCATTGGGAGAACTGCCAGGAGTATGGCTTTTTCGTGGACATGCCACCCAAATATGAATGAGCTCAAGGCACAAAGAATTAGACATTGGAGAAAGCCTCTGGGCCCTTGGGGTTTAAACCAAAGACAGAAAATAGAGGGCTAGAAACAATAGGCAAAGATAAAACTTCAGTATCATTTAAAATAGGCTTTACAGAAACACTGTTTAGGTGAATACAATTTGCACCATCTCTGAAAAGCAGATCTTAGACTATTTTCCATTAAACTGTGATAATTCATCACTTTGCTAATAGTCCACCAAGTTATCATAAAAACAACTCAGAAAAAATAAGGCATTCAGAAATAGGTATTTAACTCATCAAAATTAGTAATAAATGACAAAATTAAGTTCTAGGATATCTAATATAATCCCTTATTGCATCTTCATAACTAGTTAATTAGTAGTCACTGAATTTTTTAGGTCAAACTACAAAAGTTCATGGATATTTTGGGGTTAATAAATGAGATCTTAACATATTAATAAAAACACACCTAGTTTTGTGGGATGGGGTGTAATTTACATTAAAACTATGACCTTCCATATGCAGCTTACAAGGCTGAGGTTTTCAAAAAATTTTTACCTGAGTTAAATAGGTATGTGAACAAGCAGGCCAACAGAGCTGAGTTATCTCCCACTACTGCCACAGAACTAAGCAGGGCCAGGTGTCTTGCTTAATAGGCTTGACCATTTAGAAATCAAAATTAAAAGTTGAGTGTAATTATGCCTAGGACTGAGTAATTAATATTGAATTCTATTAAAATTATATAATTAAGTTGAGGGCATCATGATCACTAACAGAAACAACCATGAATGAAGCCTCCAACAGTATCTGACTCAAATTATTTGAAGCTCAAACAGCCATTGTTGACTCTCAACCTGTCATTATCAAGACAAAATATCCAAGCAGTATGGACAAATTAAAATTTTTTGACCAGTTGCCATGGATGGAAACAACAAAAACCTGGCTGTCCTATTACAAACATCTTTTCCTTTCTCTCCAATGCAGTCCATACCCCTTCTTGTCTGGGATTTTCTTTTTTCCTCATCCAAGGATGAACAGATGCTCTAATAGCCACTGGCAAGAATCTCTCTCACAGAAGCTTTACTAGTAATCCTTCCTTATGGTGTTCAAAGTTGCTCTAAGAATTGCCTCAATCTGTAGCAGGATTATAGCCATGGAATTTATCCCTATGGATGGAAAAACTTTATAAAGCTGGAATTCAACCAGACATACAAAAGGAAAAGAGAGAAAACTCAAGAAATGAGTACCATGGGTGAATTCTTACCAATATGGCAACCAGAGAACAGAGGAGGGTGGCCAAAGGAGTCACCGAGGGGAGGACTGTGTGTTGGAACTGCTGAACCAGACCACTTGTCATTGAGGCCTTGGCAATCTTGTTGGGATCAAGAAGTTTCAATTCTGAACCTACAGAGTAAATAGAGATTTTATTTTGTTTTCTTTTTCTCAAATGGTATGCCATATTTTACCAACCAATTCTTTGAAAAACAAGAAAAAAGCTACTACATCTTATTGTTGCCTTATGGTCAAGATTTCATTAACTTAATTGTTGTACTATATAGAACCATATATATTATATTTATACTAGTAGTACAATAGTACTACTAGTTGTACTATTCTATCCTAAGAAATCTGTCTAGCTATTATACTACATAAAGCAGCTATGTGTACTGGAACAGGGACTGTGTGCAGCTTAACAAGAATTTTGCTGGCAGTCAGCATGAACAGCCATCTGCTCTCACCTCTAAAATGAAGCAAGCTATTTAAAATGCAGGTTTGACCATGTCATTGAATGGTCATTGCCTACAGGATAAAGCCCATATTTCTAAGCATGGCATACAGTGTCTTCCGGCCTCTCCAGCTTCATCTCCTCCACTTTCTTAAATGTGGCTTGGCCACAATAAACTGACATACCCTCTCAACACTTGTGTTCCTTTGCACAGGCCACTCTCTCTGCAAAGAATGGCATACTCTTTGCAAAGTTAAGTCCTAATTTACTCACTTACCTGAGAAAACTCCTAACTCCAAAGTAGAACTGATTTTCTTGAGGGCTAGGTATACACATGTGGACATTGCACACATCTCTCTAGTGTTCGCCATACAGCACTGTATCTGTTTATGTCCTCATTTCCTCTTTACTGGGTTCCTTAGCAGCAGGAATAATCACCAATTCATTTCTATCCCCAGTTCAATAACTATCTATGAAATGAATCAAGTCTGAGGATGATGATGATGCAAGCCCCATCCCAGAAAAGCTAACAGGACAGTCGGGGGCAGACTGCATGGTCCAGTCTCATGCTGCTGAAAATCAATGAACTGTGGGAAAAGTGTAGAGCACCAAAATATTGCTGATTCATTCACCTCTTCCCTCTCCCCTTCAGCCTGCTGATTTTCTCTGAAAGCTAGTAACTATCTCCCTGCCACTGACTTTCCAAGACAGACATCTTTTTTTTTTTATAAGTGGAGCCTATATATCACTATTTTTATTATGATATTATTGATATACAATCTTATGAAGGTTTCACATGAGCAACATTGTGGTTACTATATTCACCCCTATTATCTAGTCCCCACCACATACCCCATTGCAGTCACTGTCCATCAGCATAGTAAGATGCTGTACAGTCACTACTTGTCTTCTCTGTGCTGTACTGCCTTCCCTGTGACCCTGATACATTATGCGTGCTAATCATAATGCCCTTTAATCCCCTTCTCCCTCCCTCCCCATCCACCCACCCCACCCATTTCCCTTTGGTAATTGCTAGTCCCTTCTTGGAGTCCCAAGACAGACATCTTTGAAGAGACAGATATAAAAGGTAAGGTGTAGCATAGTTTCCTAACTTAGACTAGGCAAGTGGCCCTTGTACCTCACACCATGTTGGATGTTTTAAGTTTTTTTGAAAGATAAATGTTAGGATATTACTTTGAAAGAATCGCATGGATACCAATACATGGTTTCACAGTGGGTGAGGGATTAGTACCAAATTATGATTTCCTACAAGTATGTACCAAAAACAGTACTAGTAGCCACCATGCAGTAAGAGTCTACTGTGAGCCCTGCAGCCATTACTTTAAGCCCCTGAGGCACAGAGAAATGGAGTAACTTGTCCAGAGTCACACAAGCAACAAGTGGAAGAGTGAACCCAGTCCGTCTGGCTCCCAGGCCGCTGCTACTAATAACCTAGCATTTCTTTACTGTTGCATTTGTTTCTCACAACACGTTGCATGGGAACAGGCTAAGTACTAGTCTCCCCTTATTACAGAGAAAAACAAGACTGGAAGAATTAAGGCCACACAGCCGCAGTTTATGCAGGTGGGCCTCCAACTACGTCAGTCATCAGCCTCTAGGTCAGGAGAGGACAAACTCCAGCCTAAGGGCAAATTCAGCCTGTGACTTGTTTTTGCACAACGCAGAAGCTGTGAACAGTCTTGATATTCTTAAGAGTTGTAAACTAACAGAAACACCTTATGTGGTCTGCAAAGTCTAAAATATTTACTATCTGGTACCTGACAGAGAAAGTTTGCTGACACTTCTCGGTTCTGCCATTTCCTATCAAGCTAGGTTATAGTCACAAATGACTGTGAGTTATTCCAAAGTGAGGTCTGCTTTTTTTTTCTAGTAGAACCATCTCAAGATACAAACTAGTTTTTATCACAACCCAAACTTAAAAGCATAGCTTAAGTTCCCCATTTCTTATCTCTTGCATGACTCTTGTTTTCTTTATTGGTTTAATATCCAGAGTCACAGCTTACACATTCTTCTTTTCTCTTTCATATATTTAAGTTTAAAAGAAGGGTTAACTACTGAATAATGTTTCAAGGCAAAAACTGCCTTTTAAAAATGTCTAAATATTTTATTTTTTCCCAAGGAAAGGATTTGCACCTTATTGCCACAAAGCTTTTATAAAGAACACAGTTTGTCCACTGCGCTGAAGCCTCAGTCCCGAGAACTGCTCCCCTGTGCATCCTGAAAGCTGAAAGGCAGGGCCGGAGAACAAACAGTTCAGCTACATTTAAAATGCACAGTGGTTTTTCCATTTCTCAATGTAACCTATCCTTACAATCTTCATAAATCTAAGTAAGAAGGCTTGTTACTATACCGATGACGCACAGCACTTTGTCCAAAGCATTGTATAAGGCCCAGAAGTTTGGAGCCCAATATGCATGGCAGAGGCCTCTCTTGAAAGGGAAGAGTCGGGAAAAGACTTGAGGCAGTTGATTCTGCTGAGAAGAGATTAAACAGTGATCAATCTTTTCCAAATTCAAAGAGAAAACTAAGGAACTAAGTTTTCTGCTTAGGAAAATTGAGCATATATATACCAGAAGCTGTACTACATTTATGGCATAGTGTATAAAAAGTTATGAGGTCTGAGTTCTAGTCTTTATTCTTGTAAGTAAGTAGTTGGGTGATCCTGGGAAGTTCACAGAATCTCTTTCTGTCTAAACTTCTCATCTGTTGAGTGGGACAAGATACATGAAAGTACTTTGAATACCAGTTTAATACTATTATGACATAAGTGTAATAAGGGAAGAATTTCCACGGTGCAAAGGAGGACACAGACCACAGCTTATCCAAGAGGAGAAGGTGACTGCAGGAAAGACTTTACAAAAATTGCATTGCTTTTTGGTTTTAGCAGATTAAAGTTAGCTGAATTAACAGCAAGAGAAGAGGGGAAAAAAGAAAATTATTTGTTGAACACCTATAACATTCTAGGCACTTTAGAATGTTTGCTTCAGTGAATGACTGTGAAAGCACAATGAGTACTGATTTTGGGGTTACAAATAAATTACAGTGAGTAGGCAAATTAGCAAATATGGAAATCTGTGAAATAGTGATTACTGACACTGTGTGAGACACATAGTTAAATGTATACACATACATATTTGAATATGCACAGAAGTGTCTGAAAGAATATCATCTTGTCTTCGGGGAACTATAAAGAAGTAATATGGATGATTCCTAACTCCCCAAAAGGAGTAATTTTATTTTATACATTCTTGGTTTTATTATTTTTTTCTAAAAAACTAGAACAAAGACAACAAAAAACATGTAGTAATTTATAAAAAAACAAAAGGCTTACCAAGGCTAGGAAAGGACCCAATGAAAGAGCAGAAACTAGAAAAACAACCAGTCCCAGAGAAATGAGACGGACAAAGCTGAAACTGTTCCATCGGATGGATCCATCTGCAGAAAAGGAACACCATGAACCATCATTAGATAGGAGCACGGAAAGCCATTATACAACATGCTACGACTAGAAGTATCCCCTGATAGTATACCCATCTTTATGATGTGACAGGAACAGGGAAAAGTCAGATTGGGTAGAAGGTTTGTAGGATCAACAGCTGAGATCCATTGTACCTGTTAATGTTTTATAAAATCCTTTCATGAAGCAAGCCACCAAGTCAAGGAAAAATAGAATAAAGAAGCTTTTGCTATTGTCACTAAAACTTGCCTGGTTTATTTGCAGTGAAACAGTAAGACCGCAGCAGATATATACCATAAGCTGGTGCTATGTAGAGGTAGATATGCTTGAAATGTAGAAGAACAGCAAAGAGAAATGCTCCTTCCATATGCCTTTTCTAGGAGATTTAAAAGGAAAATATCACTGTAAAATTCAGGGTAAACTAAACGCAGCAATGTAGTATCCTGGAACAGAAAAAGGACATTAGTGGAAGAACTGGTGAAATCTGAATGTACTATTGTCAGTTTCTTAGTCTTGATGAATGTACCATAGGTATGAGAGATGGTAACATTAGAGGAAAATGGGTGAGGGCTCCAGGAACTCTGTTAATCTAAAATTATTTTTTAGGAGTAATGTTTATTAGAAAATAAAAAATACTGGAAATTAGTAGCACAACCACTTGAATATACTTAACACTACTAAACTGTCCACTTAAAAAGGGTTAAGGTGGTAAATTTTATGTTGTGTGCATTTTACCATGATTAAAAAATATACATATTAAAAGATATATTCTAATATACTCAATGAACTATGACATTTAGGATATATTTCAAAACAATCCTTTTATTACTAAGTGTGTGTGTGTGTGTGTATAGATTACTGTACTATTTTCTCAACTCTTATGACTTAAACTTTCTACAATAAAAAGTTATAAAATTCAGGCAAATATTTTACATGCAATATAAGGAGAACACAGGCGAGTGATTCCAGCCAGCTGTTATACTGAGCCTGGTGGGTTCATAAATTCATCATTTCAACAAATATGTATTAAGTACTAAGCTTGAAACTGAGGTACAGGATACATCCTCCTAACAACACACTGTAAATTCTCCCGAAAGCCCAGAGAATTCAAGTATCCTCATGCCTTTTCAGTTTCACAATAGCTGGAGTTGATTTCCAGAGAGAGGCTGGGAATGAGAGTATGAATGAATACATATGATGTCTTGCTACCGAAGAAGCATTTAAGTCTTATATTACAGATCAGGTAACATGGTACTACCAGGCTGAAGCACCAAGTATAGCATTTGATCCTAAAAAACTACCTAGGAGAACTAAATGTATTTTGATTAAAACAAACAAAAAACCACTGTTTCATCAGGTATGGTCTAGAACAGATGAACGAGGAATGATAAGGAAAAAGAATGGGATGCTTCCAGATTGCTCTTCACCAGTTTTATGGTTTATTTAAGATTCAGAGGTCTATTTGGTTCTACAGCTAAACTTGAGTTTATTTGTTCAACAACCATCCAACAGACATTCATAGAGCACCAATTATGTTCTAAGTACTATGTGGCTTATGGTTAAAAGAAAAAAACATTCAGATTTTCACAGTTATCAAAGAACTTTAAAACAGATTATCAGATTTGATCTTCCCAAAGCCCTTGTATGATAGGTAGCCCAGTTTTACAAATAGCAATGTAATAAGGGGTAAATTTAATTTTATGGAGGAAAAGACTGAAGCTGAGAGTGTTAAATGACTTGCCTTGAGTTAATGGTTCCCAAACCGTGTATCAGTATTCTCTGGAGATTCCTAAACCCCAACCCTAGAGTTTCTGATTCAGTGCAACAGGGATGGCCCATAAATCTGAACTTCTGATTTCCTCCTCTATAAAAAGGATAATAACTTCACAGAATAGTTTGTAAGGTTTACTCAGTAAGATATTATATATAACGTACCTAATCAGAAACAGCCAATACATTTTGAGTGACCCCTGAATCACAGAGTTTACACGGTTAGTCAGGATTTAACCTTGGTCTTCTGATTCCAAATTCCATACTTTCCATTACACCATGCTACATGCTTCTGATGGTAAAGCCTCACCATCATAGTTACTATATTGTAAAAACTGCTGACGGTTTCATTCTTAGATAAATGATACCAACCGAATAGAGAAAATGAAGTTGATTTCAGGCCTGCCACACTCTATCAAGTTTTAGAGTGTAATTTTCTCATTGTAAAATGAAGAAAACTATTGTCAAAATAGAAGATGGAATTTCTAAGAAATACTCAGTAAGTGTCCATAGCATTTTGTAAGTTAAAACAATCAGTTGAGTAAGTTTACCCATCACCTACTACACTATTGTTTTTACAAGCTAAAAACCAAACTTAAAGGGAAAAAAATTCAACTATTCTATTTTTTGTTTACCTGAAATAATCGTGCAATGGAGAGTAGCATTAATCCAAATAAAAAACCATTGTACTGGAAATGAATATCTGGACTTGGGTCAAGGGAAGACAACAGAGGATAATAACAAATTCACAACCAACTGTGCCAGCAGACAGAGTATAAATATTGCAAATGTTTTCTTGATAGGTTAAAGACAAAAATATTACTAATATTACTACCAATTTGGACTACTCATGAATGTTTCCTATAAACAGTCAAATCTTAGACAAACTCTTTAAAGTTTATCACGTACCAAGGATTATCATAGGGTTTAAAAAAAATTTATGGTTAAGAAACTTTCCCCATGTTTTTTCCTACTTTAAAGACTCAGGAGCTAAAGGGTAAGATGTTTTTGTTTTGTTTTTTAGAATTAGGGATGAAATAAGAATGGACGTAACAGCTACTGAAGGGCCCTCCATCGTTTATAGGATATATATAGCTGTATGCAGCCCTCTGTTGTTTATAGGACAAAGATAATCTTACTTATTACCTCTATGAAGACTAAAATATTAGGCTTTTGTTAATTAGGATTTTAATTACATTCAGCCTCTTTGGATTTAAAAACTTTGCCTGTTAATATGTGGTAAGTCAAGATGGTAGAAAAGCATGAAGGGCTGTCTATTACTGCAACACTGTGATATGCCCTTTCCTGTAAAAGATATTTAGAATAATGTGTCTAACACTATTTAATATATATGTAGTAGATTAATCTAACAACAGGTAACAAATCCCAGTATACTGATTTAGTGATGGTTTAACTAGTTCTTGAGTATTAGATGAACTTTTCTGGGACAAAGTACTCTAACTACCAGAGTTTGCTAAAGCTGCACAGCCCACACATTTTGGGAACCCACTAATCCACCTCATACCCATTTTCAAAAGCAGTTCACATTTCAGAATCATCATTATAGAAAAAATTGATCTTTAGTTAGTAGGTATCAGAATGAGAAAGGAATAGTACAGAAAATGTCAAGGATACGGTCCACAATTAACAACCCGAAGTTCCACAGCAGTAATACTGACAGAATAAACTTTGGCTTCTCTGTAAGTTCTTTACCTGCTTTTTTTCCATCAATGCATTTACAGCACCTGTATTAGAGAATCAGAAACAACTTTGATCTTCATTAGAAATGATGAATACTTCACAATACTTCTATAGAGAATATTATGATACACCTCAAATATGTTTTGTTAGCCATTCCTGATAAAACTGTCTGTGCATTCTTGACTGTTTAAAAAGATGGCAGCAGAAACAAAGACCTCAGGGCCAGTTCCATGTCTCTTTCTCAGCTATGCTGATCTGAAACAAAGTCTTCATTTAATAAAAATAAAAATAAAATAACAGCCACCAAAAACCCAAAAGTAAAAATTTTGAAACTTGAGACACACTATTTCAGCTCTTAAAAGATGCAGACCAGATGATATAGTACTACAAATTATTTACCATCATACTGGCCAAATTAAGAATAAAGCCACAAACTTGTAGTTACTGATTGTCCAAATAATGAAAAAAAAATCCATTATGTAAAAATATATGTCATTTTAAGGTCAAGCCATATTACTAAGTGGCAATAGCAGGTAAACAAAACAGTATGATCCCATTTGTATTTTATAGGAATTACATTCAGACACAGAAGAGAGGCTGAAATAATATGTACCAAAATGTTGACAGTAATAGCTATAAGTGGAGGAGTATGTATGATTTTTATTTTGTATGTGTGTGTGTGCTTTCTGTTTTCCAAAATTTTGATGAGGATGTATTACTCCATAAAAAGATATTTAAAAATGTGTTTCATTTGAATTTTGGCAAATTCTAAAAACAAAGAAATCTAAGCCAAAAAAATAGACACAATGAAGATGGATTAATGGCCTAGCCAAAGGTGTCCTGCTTTTCCATGGAGCCTCAGTTTCCTTAAATAGAGACAGTAATATTACAGGTTAACGGAGAAAATAAGTTAATAAACTATACATAGTGTCTAGTTCTGGGAACTGGTACATTGATTTCAATAATTCTATCTTACTTAATTGCTCCCTCTATATTGTAGATGGAAATAATTCTCTTTTTCTCTTTCTGTCTCTACACACTTTCTCTGGGAGTTTGAACTCAAACATTTTGAGTTTAAAGAAGTATATTACAAATCACCTTCCCTTCCAGGTCATTAACAGATTGAAAGTAAGGATTCAAAAAGGACTCTTGCCAAGTCATAAACAGATTGAAAGTAAGGATGTCAAACAGGAGTGACTCTGTAAGAATGAACATGAGTTAAAACATTCCCAAGGGACTCCTTCCTGAATGGGGCAAGGGTTCAGTATAAAAAGCCTCACACCAGATACTGATCTGTCATAATCACACATACTTAGGACAGAATAGAAACCAACATTAACCGAGAACTTACTATTTGGAAGTCACTGTGCAAGACACTATATTATTTTCATTCAACCAAAAATTATTTTGTAAGTGAAAGATGGGAAACAAAAAAATATAAAATATGGACATAACTTAAATTAGTGAAGAGTCTTTATGACGGAAAGAATTCAGAAACAGCAGCTAAAAGCACTCAGTAAGATTTCTTGAGTTTACTAGAATGGAAACTCCACTGGTGGTTAGCACAATGCATATGTGTGCACACTGTGCACAGTGTGTATAGGGGCCCTGTAAGAAGGAAAGAAAACCACACGGAGCCATGTTGGGCAGGAAACAGTCCCAGAACTCGACTTGGGACTACTTTTCACAACATTCACAATCTCTTCTTCTACATCTGCCTTGTCACCCCACTTTATCCTCCATTTTCTTCTGTAAGGTTCAGTGAGACTGCTTACTGTAATTGCTCACTGTGCAGTTTAAAACACAAGAACGCAATTTTGGATGGTTCTAGCATTTGCTATTATATGAACTTTGTTTCCCTCAAATGAGGAACAAGTTAATACTGCTTAATACTGTAAATTTCCTCAACACCTTCCACACAAAATGACATTCTCAGACTTACTCGTGGACAGCATACACAAAGAGTGCATCTGTAAAGATGACAGAAAACCTCTGGAAAAGTAAGGTCCTTGTGCTGGAGTAATTCACGTTATGGACATTCAGCATCTCCTCATCAAAATACTTGGCAACATGTGACAGGGCCCACTCAAACCATGCAAAAAAGGGGGGGTAATCCAAGGTCCACTCTGAAGTTGCCTGTGGCAAAAATCAAAGACAGAACATATCCTAAGTAACTAGATAAATAAAGAGCGTGCAAAAAGTGAAAGTTTTCATTCTGTGGTCTCTAAGAAAAGCACAGGAAATGAAACTGCATTTTAAATATGTTCTGAATTAATAGAGCAATTCCTACGTAAGAATGAAGACAACACCAAAATATGGTCCCTGCGTTAATTAATATGGTCTTCAGTTTACTTATATAGAATCAGCTATACTTCAAAGGAAACTCATCTGAAATCTGAAATAATAAACTTGGTTTTGACATGATTTACTCATCTAAATATAAACAGGGAGCGATGGCATGATAAAGGATTCCTCCAGCTTGAATTCAAGTTCTCAGAGAATCAATTTCCCTATTTGAAAAAGGAGGTACTGTGGGGATTAAATGGGATAAATATATATGAAATATATTTATAAATAACAAAATATTACTCATCTTTTTTTTACACTAGGTTAAGAGATCCTTGAGAGCAGAAACTACTTTGTCATTTCTGTATCATGACCATTACGTACCTGACACATTAAGAATTATATAACTATTAGTTAAATGAATGAACACTTACTAATGAGTAAATGAAAATATAGATTATATGAAGAATACACAAACTTCGGGATATTATATTTTGTTAGATTTCCCTAAGTCTCAGTTTCCTCATCCATGTATCAAGGATGGTAGTACCTACCTCATGAGTTATATTAAATTTTACATACATATATAAAATACTGTATATATAGTATTGAATCAGATACAAACTTCAATAAATATTATTATTATCTTAAAAATTATTACTTTTGCCATAAGATGTCCCTAAAAGTAAATCTAGCCTTGTACCTGTAAGAGCTGGGACAGCATAATTATCTTCCTACTCTGCACGTGTTGCTCTTTTCAATGGAAAACTCTTCTTTTCTGGAAGTGGACTAAGGGTTCACTGGGTCCTAACTGGGTGCTCACAGGGTGCCCACTGGGTTCCTATTAGATGCCCAGAACTATTAGAGTCTCTCTGTGGTATAAAATGAGGTGAGAGAGACTCAGTTAAACTACTTGCTAGCTCTTTGTTCATATGAATGAATAACAAATTTAGGTCCCAATAAGAAGTAACCTGTAGGTAGTGCAGATGCCTTAAACCTAAAACAAACCCAGAGGCTCTCTGTCTAGGGCACTCAGGCAGTGAACCCACCCATTTTTCCAAATCAAAGTGTCCCTGTCCAATTGAGGAGTGCTATCCCCATTCCTACACCACTCAGAGGCTCTCTATGCTGCCCCTACTCCTGACAAAGACTCCCCAAACCTAGCCGAAAAGATTTCCATCTGGAGCCATCTTCTTACCTAAACAGCTTTTGGCAAGGCAGTGAAGCTATTAGCTAATATTTCTTTCCATGTGAACAGTTCCATCAGTTAACTAATGCATAGTAGAGCTGGGACTCAGATCTGGGTCTCTTGACTCCAAATCCACTAGCTCAGGAAACTACTAAAACAGAGCTATTTCCTCAAAGTAGAAAATCCAATCTCTACATATGAAGACTCAAAACAATTGTGTTTATTCTACAAATATTTATTATGGGTCTTTCTGTTGTCTTTCCCAACCAGTACACCAATCAATTTAACCTGTGGCCAGAGTAGAAAGGTAGAAGTCACAGCTAAGGAGGGCTCTGCAAAGCAATCAACTGCTCAAGTGTCCGTTCTTCTTAGTACAGCAGAAAGACCCTTCCAGACCTGACTGCACGTGCCTCTCCCATCTTATCTCCTACTGTGAGGCTCCTCTCATATACTGTCAAGTCTCACTCATAACTGAATTTTGCTCCTTGTTGGTTTTTGTTGTTATTATTGAGGAGAGCAGGAAGAACAAAGCAGCGTACCATTACTAGAATCTCTTCATATAAACCTCTTCTATCTGAAATAAATCAATAATAGGAGATAGCTCTGGCTTCAATATCTTAGGATTCATTTAGGAGTCCTAAGATAACAGGTAGTAGTGAAAGTTACAGGAGTAAATGAGAGAACATCCTGAAAGAATTACAGAATTAAAAGGAAAAAGGGCACAAAGAGAACCCCGGAGAGTACCACCTTTTCAAAGGGAATACAGATGAAGAAAAGTTAGCAAAGGAGACTAAGAAGGAATCTTCAGAAAAGGAGGAAATGGTGAGACAAGGGTTGGCCTTTTCATTTATAGGCTGAGGGTCATTATATTAATAATGGTAATTATTAAAAGTTCTTAGTAGTGTTTACTGAGCACTTTGTTCCAAGCACTGTGCTAAGTGCTTCACATGCATTATATTCACTTCTTCCTAGTAATTATTTGTTACCATTTATTAGCTGGGGACGCTGAGGCTTTGAAAGTTCAACCAGTTTTCCACAGTCACCCAGCATGGGCATTAAGTGGCAGCACCCAAAGTCAAACCCAAGCAGTCTGAAACTACAACCCAAGCTCTGAACGCTAGGCCACACATCTCCTAACTGGTGTGCATATGCAAACCGAGATACCTTACACTCACATAATTACTTAAAACTCCTTAGCATTCCTGTGAAGTATTTATGGTGTTATTACTATGTGAGAAGAAACTTGGCCATTTAGGTCAACTGTTGTTAAGCTTTTTCAGCATGAAGGACTATTCTGGTCTGGCCAAAACACCGAAAAGCTACCAAAGACTCATAGAAAACTTCATAGACTGTGTTAAAAAAAATCTCCCTGACAGTAGACTGCTGTTTTCGATTAAGACATTTCTGAACTAATGCCTGTTTTTCATGAAGTATCCCAGGCAATTTAGTAATTCATGCCAGAAAAATACAGACGATTTTTATAATAGAAGAAATAGTTTGTATAAGACACCTACACATCACATTCAATTATTCCTTTCCTCATAAATCACAATATATTAGGGATAGACAGGATCTTAGAAATAACTCATTCTAAATCCTTATATGCCAGATGATAAACTAAGGCTCACAGAGATGAAATATATTTCCTATGCTGTAGCAGAGCCAGGCCTAGAATCCAGTTTTTCTCTGTCCCAATTCAATGTTCTTCCAAAAAGGGTGTGGCAGATATTATTATTTCTAATTTATAGTTTGGTAAATTCATGAAGTAAAGGGATTAGGGAAAAGTGCCAGAGGACAGACCTGGGGAAAGAACATAATCTCTATAAAGATTAATTAGATGAGTGACCAACCACTTAGAAAACTGTTTCAATATCGATCATATATGATTTCACACACTGTCTTAAAAAAGAAAAACAACCAAAATTTAAGACTTACCTCATAATACCATTGTGATACTGGCAAACTGTGAGTGATGGCAAGCCAGTTGCGGTGCACTTCAAAATCTGTGGAATGGCTACTCAGAACAATCAAGACGAGTAAGATGAGATTTTGTAACACTGATCAGTTTCACATTTCTAACATTAAGCTTTAAGAGGACTAACAGCCCCTACACAGTCACAGCTCACTAACCTGTAAAGGGGCAGTCATCACATAACCCTGAAACACCTCCCTTCCTTCTGGCAAAGCTGGGGATCTACAAGTATGTGAAAAAGGTCATGGAATGGTCTAAGGGGCTGATCAATCCCCCATTCATTTTTTTTAAGGGAAGCCCTCAGGCTATTGCTCAGAGGTGACTTTCTCTTGTTCACAAAGAATTCTAACAAATTTATTATCTGGAAAAGGCCTCGGACAGAAGCTGGATATTCAATGATGAGTAGAGGTTCATCAGACAGAGAGGGTAGAAAAGGCCCCTGTCCTGCCTTTCCAATGTCTCCAGATTCTCCCTGTCTACTGTTTTCCCCCTAGCTATATATAAATATAGTCAAGCATCTTCCCTCTGTGGGAGGAAAAATTTTCCCTTCTACCCTTCCAGGTTCTGTGGCTGGTCTAAGAATTAAACTGACGTAAAACAGATTAACAGGAGCAAATAAGCCAATTTTGATGATGTACATACAGACGGGACCCCTTAAAGAAATGAGACTTATGAGACTCAAAAGGAAGCCATGTGATGTCTGCGGATGTGTCTGCAGATTCTCAAAACCATCAGCCCCAGATGATCCTTATGCCAAAGAGGCATATTTTGGGGTGGCATATTCTGCTACCCTTCTCTGTTCTTTAGAAAAAAACTTTTCTATTTGTCAACTGCTATACCTCCACTCCTTGTCTTGAATAGCACCTGATACATGTCTGGGTTCAACAGTGTTGAATTAACCACTCACCAGTCAACGAGTTCCACAGCAAACTCAATTTACACTTTCCAGTGTTTCACACACCTTTCCACAGTGACAATTCTCTCCTGAGTTTCCTAGCTAACCCCTTCTATGTCTCTTTCATGGCTTTCCGTTTCACTATTCAACTAAATGTTGCTGGTTCCCCTGGGTACAGTTCTTGGTACTGTTTCTGGGCAACTTAAGGCCTTATACTTACCACTTTTCACACTCATTGCTTCCACTGTCAACTGTATAACGATGACTCCCAAAACACAATATACATCCTTGATCTCTTTCTTGAGTTCTAGAGACAGACACCTCCAATTTCCTGCTAACAATGTAACCCTGGGTTTCCTACAGATTCCTCAAAATCACAATTCATAACTGGTCTAATGACCAAACAATACCATTTATCGGTATATACTCAGTAGAAATGCATACATGTTTACCAAAATACATGTACTAGGTGTATCTTCAGGCCTCCAATTACATGCCAGTCTCAGAGATTTCCCTGGTATCTGATCTAAAGTCAGTCTCCCTTGACAGTCCTCTTATAGAATCCCATTCTTTTCCTTCATAATGCCTAATGCAAGTAGAGTTACATAATTACATATTTTCATTGATTTGTTTCTGGAACTGTTAGCTTTATTAAATTACTTTTATAGGGTTAGGGATTCTACCCATTCTGTCCTCCCGTGTGCCTAGCAATAGTACCTGGTATATAATAAAGCAGTTAGTAAACATTTTGTTGAATAGATCTGCATTTATCCTATAGCTCCCTTCTCACACCACGGGGGTTTCTATTTTGAGAAGCAGAGCATTAACAACTATACTATGTTCTTAATCCTGGACTAAGAGCAGTATTTAGTATAACGACCTAGAAGACACATATTTCTAGACTGAATTAACTAAAACAAGAAAACTTATATGCACAGACCTACAGTGAAAAAAAGTTCCCTTTTACTCTGATTTGAAAGGAATTTCTTACATTTTGTAAAGATTTTTTCCAATTGGATTTTAAATGGAAAGGTGTTTCTTATTTGCCTTCAGTTATGCAGAAAATTTAACTGCTCTTCTTTTTCGAAATCCCTGAAAGTTATTTTGCTGACCTTATATACTCCACTGCTTATATAATTATATATACACATCCGTATGGATGTACACTCTATATATACATACATCTCTTCCAAATCCAAGAAGAGATCACGAAGAATTTGAACTAAAGGATACCAATAAACTACCCTAAACTAGGAAGCAGGAGTAGAGAGCTATGGAGGGGAGAAAAGGAAAAGGAATAAGGGGGAAAATCAAGGGAGAAGAGTTAGAAAGGATGAATAGAAGGTGGAAGCTAGTAATAAATATTGATACTGATTGTATACACATTACTACTTGGTGTTATTCCTGTTTTCTGTACTTTCTGTCTTGGCCCTGCATTGGCAGAGCAGTCTAACCCTGTGTGATCGGGCTACTGCCTACCTCACCCTGTGCCACTCTTCTCCCTCACTGCTCTTCAGCCACAAGGGTCACTTTTTGGGTTCCTGGAATGCTCTGAGTTCTTTCCTATCACAGAACCTTTGCACCGACTCTTCTCTATGCTTGAACTGCTCTTCACATTGTTTATTGTTTTACATCTTTTGGATTTTAACGCAAACATCACCTTCTAAAAGAGGTGTAAAGCCTTGTTTCCTATTCACTCCTTCTTTTTTAGAACTTATCACAACCGGATACTTTCGTGTTTGTTTAGCTGCCCCAACTCCATCAAGGACAAGAACCAAAGTGTCCTTTTCACCACTACCTCTCCAGGACTTCGCACAGTAGGCAGCTGATAGACACCAGCTGATTGAATGGTGGAGGTGGGTGTTCTTAATCTGCATACTAAGGATGAGAATTTTAAGGCTCAGAAACATTAAATTGAGACAGCGTCAGGCCTGAACTCAGCCATCCAGGGCTATGATCTAGTTCTCAAGTCAAGTAACAATATAGCATAAAGCTTAGCAAAGGCGCACCCAGGGACATCCACACTTAATCTCCCCGCCCTGACCAATCGCGGGGGCCTCCCTGCCCATCCCCTGGCCGTGCGGGTCCCTTACTAGGTGGGGATGAGAAGGCATTTGAGGAGAGTCACCGCGAGCGCCAAAGCCGAAAACCAGTTGCCACCACCCGCTGCAATTCCGAGAGGCGCCATTGCAGCCGTGCCGCACGTCTCCAGCCCACCTGATCTGCGTCCGGGGTCCCGCGCATGCGAGGAAGGCACTCTGAGGCGGAGCCCGCGAGTTGTGCGCATGCGCCCAGGCTGTCCGTCCTGGGGAAGCCGCAGCGTCGGTATTTAAACCTCCCGCTCAACGTTCTTTCCTGGTCACTCGCTCTCTGGCCCCAGGAGGGCCTCAGTGCGCCGGCACTGGTCTCAGCGGCGACAGGTGAGGTGTCATTTGTCACCAGACTTCCTTCTCAGTAGCTGCTGAGAGTCGTCTCCGGGTGTTCGTTTTTGCCTGGCTTTGGGGTCCTGAGCGAGAAATAAGTGTATCTTGCCCCAGAGACGTTCACATGCTAGTGGAGGAGACACAATTGTAATTCGAAAGTTAGGGCAGGTAAAAGTGAAAGAGTAAATCGGGACCGGATCCTCCCTCAGCCAATCGGGACCCGGATCCTCCCAGCCAATCGGGACCTGGATTCTCCCCCTCATCACTCAGCAAAAAACCCGCCACCTCCCCAACCAATCAGCCAAAGCTGCGCCCATCACCCCACCAACCGCCCCTAGACCCCTATAAAACCTTTGTGCTTTTGAAACTCACTCTCCAGCACCACGCCCCTGAGTAGGTGCAGATAGGAGATTGAGCTCGAGCTAGTTCGAATAAAGGCTCTTTGCTTTTGCACCGGACTCGGCTCCCTGGCAGTCTTTGGAGATAACGAATTCTGGGCATAACATTTGGGGGCTCGTCCGGGATCCCCAAGACCCCGAGGGACCCCGACCCGGAGAGCCTGACTGGCCACAGTAGGTATTGTATTTGTTCCCTGTCTCTTTTGTGTGTCCGCTTCCTGTCTCTGTTTGCGTGAGCTCATTTCTGGAATTCTGGTAGTGCCCATTGCAGTCTAAGTGGACACACTGGAAGGCCGCTGGCCGGAGGATTCGGAAGACATTCCAATCCTCCCTTCTGGAGGGATGTGGATTCCCCTCAAAAGTCTGAGACCAGGCGAGTCGCTCCCGCCTGTCGGCATGAGGCCGTTGTCTAGCTTTCAGTTTTGCTTCCACGGCATTGGAAGACTGTTTTCAGGGGTCCTCTGTTTGTCTGTTTCTGTGTTTTTCTGTTTTATTTTGTGGACTTACTGGACGGACATCATGGGACAGACTCAGACTACTACTCCAAGTATTATGATTGGTCACTTTAAAGATGTAAGGGGAAGGGCTAACAAACTTAGTGTAAAAGTCCAGAAGGAGTCATGGCAGACTTCTTGTTCTAGCGAATGGCCAGCTTACAATGTTGGATGGCCGCCAAAGGGAACCTTCGACCTCCCTACCATCAACCGAGTCAGGGAGATCATCTCTTGGTCAAAGGCGAGTCACCCTGAACAACTCCCTTACATTATCACTTGGCAGGGCCTTGTAGAAGACCCACCCTCTTGGCTTAAGCCCTTCCTGGCTCCACGCCCTCCAGAGCCGAAACCCATTCTTGCTTTGCAGGGACGGAGAAAAAGGAGAACAAGAAGAGTCCTGCCCAGTCTTCAGCACCCCTCTACCCTGTCTTACAAGGGGAGACTGGTGAAGAACTAATTTTTCCTCCCCCATATCAGCCCTCTAGAATGCCGGAGGGACATCCTCCCCGCTCCCCCGGGGATGCAGATGCCGCTCCAGGAACAGGAGGCGGAGGTGCTCCAGATGAAGAGCCCAGAGAGAGCAGTCGCCTCCGCCGCCGACTCCACCATTCTGCCCCTATGAGCCACCAGCACCCCCAACGAGCAGGGAAATCAGCCCCACCACTACTGGCCCTTCACCACTAGTGACCTCTACAATTAGAAAGCTCAAAACCCTAAGTTTTCCGAGAAACCGGCAGGGCTTATTGATTTATTAGACTCTGTTCTCTTTACCTACCAGCCCAAATGGGATGGCTGTCAGCAGCTTTTCAGGTCCTGTTCACGACTAAAGAGAGGGAGAGAATCCTCAATGAGGCCCAAAAATTAGTTCTGGGACAGGAGGCGGAGGTGCTCCAGATGAAGAGCCCAGAGAGAGCAGTCGCCTCCGCCGCCGACTCCACCATTCTGCCCCTATGAGCCACCAGCACCCCCAACGAGCAGGGAAATCAGCCCCACCACTACTGGCCCTTCACCACTAGTGACCTCTACAATTAGAAAGCTCAAAACCCTAAGTTTTCCGAGAAACCGGCAGGGCTTATTGATTTATTAGACTCTGTTCTCTTTACCTACCAGCCCAAATGGGATGGCTGTCAGCAGCTTTTCAGGTCCTGTTCACGACTAAAGAGAGGGAGAGAATCCTCAATGAGGCCCAAAAATTAGTTCTGGGAACAGATGGGAACCCCACCACCAACCAGGCTCAGATAGACACCTTCTTCCCCTTAACTCGGCCTGAGTGGGATTTCAACACAGCAGAAGGTAAGGAGAGGCTCCAAGTCTACCGCCAGACTCTAATGGGGGGTCTCTGAATGGCTGCTAGGAAGACAACCAATTTGGCCAAGGTAGGAAACATACAACAGGGAAAAGATGAATCTCCAGCTGCCTTTTTAGAACAGATCATGGAGGCATTCCGTACCTACACCCCCATAGATCCAGAAGCTCCAGAGAACGAGGTAGCCATTGTCAGGGCCTTTATAAACCAATCGGCCACAGACATTAGAAGAAAATTACAGAAAATAGGCTAGGAGAGAAAAGTCTGCAGGACTTGCTGGTAGTAGCCAAAAAGGTATACAACAACCGAGAGCCTCCCAAGGATAAGCAGTCTCGCGCCATGGCAGCTGCCAGCAGCAAGCAAACTCGAGACCCGGCCAGAATACCACTAGCTACCACTGCTGACTCCTCCAAAGAACGAGGCCGCCATCTCTGGCAGCTGGCGGACGGCCCAAAAGAAGGTAAAGGAACCACCGGCAGGGGGGAGGCAGAGGCTGCAGAATGATCAGTGTGCATACTGCAAAGAAATAGGACATTGGGCCTGAGAATGCCCGAAAAAGGCTGGTGGGAAGGGGAGCAAGACTGATTGAGTAAAAGTCTTAGAGCTGGATGAACTGAGCGATTAGGAGAGTTGGGGTTTGGACCCCTTCCCCAAGCCCACGGTAAGTCTTAGAGTGGAGGGGACCCCTGTCAATTTCCTTGTCGACACCGGAGTGCAACATTCAGTTCTCCATAACCCACAGGGGAAGCTAGCAAGCAGAAAGTCTTGGGTACAGGGGGTGACTGGTATAAGCCAGTATTCATGGACTACCCGAAGAATGGTAGATTTGGGGATGGGACAGGTATCCCACTCCTTTATGGTGATACCAGAATGCCCCTACCTGCTGTTAGGGCGGGACTTACTGACTAAAGTTGGAGCTCAGATAACTTTCAGACAAGGGGGTCCTCAAGTCACTGATGGGGAGGGCCACCCCCCTCAGGTCTTGACAATGAAATTAGAAGATGAGTACCACCTCCACCAAGGGGTGCTCCTGAAAGAAAACAACATGGACAGATGGCTACAAGACTTCCCCACAGTTTGGGCAGAGACAGGAGAGATAGGACTAGCCGCTCACAGGACCCTGGTTCTAGTAGAGCTCAAGCCAGGAGAAGGTCTGGTATGGATCAAGCAGTACCCTATGTCTCAAGAGGCCCGGAAGGGAATCCAGCCACACAACCAGAGACTATGCAACCTAGGGGTACTAGCTCCCTGACCGTCTGCATGGAACACTCCCTTACTGCTGGTCAAAAAGCCTCACATGAATGACTACCATCCATACAGGACCTCCAGGAAGTAAACGAGGGTTCTGGACATACACCCAACTGTTCCCAACCCATATACTCTCTTGAGCTCCTTAGCGCCCTCCAGGGTCTGGTATACCATATTAGATCTAAAAGATGCCTTCTTCAGTCTGCTGCTGGCACCTGAGAGCCAACTCTTGTTTGCCTTCGAGTGGCATGATCCAGAAGAGGGCTACAGATCCAAGGACGCTGACCTGGACACGGCTGCCTCGAGTACACAAATTCGCCCACCATCTTTGACTAGGTGCTGCATGAGGACTTAGGTGAGTACAGAAGAAAGCACCTTGGCCTCACCCTCCTACAGTATGTAGATGACATCCTGATTGCTGCCGACACGGCCAAAGACTGCGAGCAGGGGACCCAAGACCTGCTGACAACCCTGGGAACCTTAGGGTACCGGGCATCCGTGAAGAAGCCTCAGATATGCAGGGAGAGGGTAAGTTACCTGGGATACATCCTGGAGGGCGGACAGCAGTGGTTATCAGATGCCAGAAAAGAAACTGTCCTGAAAATCCCTACTCCCACCTCCCAAAGAGAAGTAAGAGAATTCCTAGGATTGGCCAGCTACTGCCGCTTCTGGGTTCTTGGTTTTGCTGAGATTGCCAGACCCCTATGTGAAGCTACCAAAGGGGAGAAAGCGTTAGAATGGACTAAGAAAGAAGAGACCGCCTTTAATCAATTAAAAAAAAGCCCTCCTAGATGCCCCAGCCCTGGGCCTGCCAGACATTACGAAGCCCTTCCACCTCTTTGTAGACGAACACGAAGAAATAGTGAAAGGGGTTCTGACTCAAGCCTTAGGTCCCTGTAACCGCCCGGTGGCTTATTTGTCCAAAAAGCTAGACCCAGTAGCTGCCGGCTGGCCACCATGCCTGAGAATTATTGCGGCAACTGCACTCCTAGTCAAGGATGCTGACAAACTGACCCTAGGACACGAGATCTGGATCATGACCCCACACACTATAGAAGGGGTCCTGAAACAGCTTCCTGATAGATGGCTGAGCAATGCGTGCATGACTCATTACCAGAGCCTCCTACTCAACTCTCCATGGGTGTGGTTCCACCCCAGTGTGACCCTACTGCCTGACCCTGACCTAGATGCCCCACTACATGACTGTGCAGGGATCTTAGAACAAGTACATGGATTCTGGACAGACCTGACCAACCAACCCCTCCCTGATGCTGAGGCTACTTGGTTCACTGATAGCAGCAGCTTTGTGCAGGATGGATGCAGGTATGCGGGTGCAGCGGTGGTCACCAAAGCGGACACCATATGGGCGGGGGCTCTAACCTCCGGAACATGAGCCCAGCGAGCAGAGCTCGTCGCCCTCACCAAGGCGCTGATGCTAGGAGCTGAAAAACGGCTCAACATCAACACATATAGTCGATATGCGTTTG